GGGCACTCAATTTCTCCAAAATACTGATCTGCACGTTTCTTCCCTGGACTCCTAAATCAAAATAAATGCATTTTTTTGATTATTTCTTCAATTTCCCAGCCTCAAATTTCATTAAATATCCAAATGATTGCCTTCAAGGCTTGTTTTCCATGCACTTAAATTGAAAAATTAATAATCCCCTTTTAATAGAAAAACGATACCATAGATCCGGCAGTGTACAACATGTACACCAAAACCGACGAGAAGTTCGGCAAACAATTGACTTGGAACTACAAGAATTACACGGACTTCTACACGCCCCCTTGTAACGAAATCAAAGGATCCGCCACTGAGTTTTACCCGTTGAATGTGAACAAAACTACGCTCCTCTTCTACTCGTCTGAGCTGTGCAAATATGCCGAGCTGCAGTTTGTTGGCGAAGAAACCATCAAAGGAGTTCAAGGATATCGGTTTTCTGGCGACCATATTTTCGACAATGGTACTGAACCACTTTTGCAGTAGATATTCAAGTTGTAACTGCCCGGAATTGTAGGTGATTTGTATCCAAAAAACCGCTGCTTTTGCCGAGAAACCTGCGTTCCATCCGGGGTTCTGGATGTGTCCAAGTGCAGGCAAAACTCCCCATCCTACGTGTCGCTTCCACATTTTTTTGCCGCCGATCCGTACTATCGAGAGCTGATCGACGGCATGCAACCTGATAGGAAAAAGCACGAGTTTTACATTGTAATTGAACCGGTAAGGTTTGGTTTCACTGGGTTTTTGCCCGGTTGTAAAGGTGGTTTTTTGTTCCAGAAATCTGGAATTATCATGGACATTGGCGCCAACATGCAGCTGAATATGCTGCTGGAGCCCATACGTGGATTTGCGTAAGTTAATCCCTGAGATAAAAGGTTTTGGTAAAAACTCCTCAATTTTTTTCTAGGTTGTATCAGGACGTTCCCAAAGTTTTCATCCCGATGTTTTACTTCGCCCAGCACATCGAGCTGAAGGACGACCTGGCGGCCAATTTGCGGCTGATTCAGCGCTTTCCAGAGTTCCTCACTTACGCATCCATTAGCTTCATGGCTTTGGGCATTGTGGTCATTGTTGGAACCGTGTGTTCGATGCTCAAAGTCTGCTCGTCGACAGAGGGCAGCATTAAGAAAATCACGGAAAAATTCTACGAAGAAATTCCTTTCCAAGAAAAAAATACAGTCACTTGATTCAGGAACTGCTGGAGTTTCATTTATTTCCAAAACCATTTGAGTTTGGAGATTTTCAAGCTTAAAGCAATTCTTTATTAAATAGTACAAAATACACTCAAAAAATGACAAAATACTTAACAAAGTAACACATTTTCAAATCACAATCAGGCCTCAAAGCCTGTCTTTTCCGTTAAAGGAACGATTTCCTTTAGAGCATGTTCCCTGCTCAGAATCGGTTTGTTGCATGCTCGGCTGCAGCAAAACGCCTCCAGAACAACGGCGCAAAGGATGCAAACAATTCCTGCAGCAATACAGATCGATTCAAAGTTCTTCAATAGGGAAACAAAGATGGTAAACTCGCTTGGAATGGTCACAATCTGTTCGAACCAGAGCACTGGAATGTACACTTTGGGGACGTTCTGGAACAACCTGCAGGAAGCCTGAGATTGACCGCTTCGAATATTATGGGAAGTATGTGGCTTACCGAATACCGTCAACAGGCTGAAGCAGGAGATTTACCTGAATTCTAGCTGCTACCTTTAAGGGCATGCCGGTTTTCTGAAAAAGTAAGGAAAAAATGCAGCTAGAATTTTAAAAAAATTGTGAGAAAATAGTACACTCTTTTTATGACAATCCTGTCGGTTCTACCAAGCAGGGAAAACCCCCAGATCCCGATCTTTTAATTTGCATCTTGCAGACTTTTTTTGTTTGATAGACAGACCAAGTTTGAATTGCAGTTACTACATTTTTGCACGTTTTTCCCTGTACTCTCCATGTGTTCGTTGGCACTTACTGGCTCAAAAATCATGTAAAAGTCATGCAGATCTTCACTAGGAGCCATTCCATCGATTATGCTTCCGTAATAAGGATCGGCTTTGAAGAAATGGGGCAGGGAAACAAAAGCTGGGGTTCCGTAGCGGCAGGCTGACACATCCAGAACCCCGTAAGGCATACAGTCATCGTTACAGAAACACTTGTTGTCTGGCACTTTTGTCCCTAAAAAGCAAATTTTTCAGTAGACTCGCTTTCCGTGGTACAGAAGAAAAATTGGGCTTTTAGCAGGCTTTACACCTCATCTCTATCTCATCAATCAATACCGTTATCTAACAGTCGATCACCAGCCACATATTTGTACCCCAAAACTCCATTAACATCCACCTCTTTTTCATACTCCAACTGCATGTAGCGGCACAGATCGGGTGAAAAGAAGTTAACCAGCGACTCCTTATTCAAATTGGCCGGGAAAAACTCTCCAGCCGATCCAGAAACATCGCCGCATTTATCCCGAAAGTAGGGCGTATGTTGCATGAACTTCCATGAGTAAAGTTTCCCAAGTTGGCCAGTGAGTCCCACGTCCATGTTGAAATGTCCTTCGTAGGTTTCCGAGTTGTTTCTCTGAAAATTAGTCACTTCCTTACTTATCCTGCTCACTAAACCAATAGCTAGATTAGAAGCTGATAATGAAATGAAGACTTAAATACGTTGGGAAGTTTTGAAGAATCAATCGAAGATGTGATTGCTCACCGTATAAAACCAGCCAAATTTATCAAAGTTGGGCAAACTGGAACCCACAATGAACGTTGGCATGCGATTGGCCATATTCATCAAAGAATCTTCGTATCCTGCAACAGGCCAGTGTTAATACAATCTTCAATCAATCATCTAGTAGGTTTCACCCTCAAAAAGAACTTGTCCAGCTGTGTGAGTGACATGCAATGAGGGCGCGATAGAGCTCAGAAAGATACTGAGACCATTTTTAAGGAAATAGCTCCAGTTGCGCGCCCCATAAGAGCTAGACTAAAATAAAAATCAGCTAATTGCTATCAGGATGCTTGAGCAATTACCAGGCTGGTTGGGTTGATGGAAGTGATGGCATCGTTAAGACTCCCATTGCTTTTGCTCTGGTTGAACCACCATCGCTTCAGGTGGTAGAAAGACACTGTGTTATTGTCGTTCCAGGTAATGTTCACTTTCTCTTTGGTTTCGTCAAATGTGTAGGGCCCCATTTGCTGGAAATGGGGCTTGACTGAACTGCAAGGCGTTTGGTTGATTAATCAGCAACTGTTTCCAGATGTTTTACCTGTTCAACACTTCACCAGGATTCGTCCAGTTGAACAGAAAGAGCTTCAGAGTCATGGGCAATGGGTTCGTTTTCCACATATCAAAAGTGTAAGAATCGGCTTGCAGAACGAAGATTTTGCTGATGATGCACTTGTAAATCGCAGCCCGGAAGGTAATGATTAGGATGCCCAGAACGATAAAACTGATGGTGATTCCGCAGAAAAGTGCACATTTTCTGAAGCACTGTTTCGGGAACATTTCGGCAATCTGAAAAAGGGGTTTTCGATGACTTAACTCTGCATCTTAAACCGTCGTACTGCTGATTATTTGCTTGGCAAATGAAGTAAATTAATGTAATTGAATTGATTCAATTGTGCATTGAGTGAAATTAGCCGAGCAGGMAAGGTGAGACGACTTGACCTGTGGAGGAATGATCAAGCAACTTAAGGACTTACATTAATGAGCAAATGYATAGAAGAAATGGGTTTTGATGGATTTTTRAAAATTTGCGTTGGGTGWCAAATGGGAATCAAATTTYATCAAAMTTAAAATTTTTGTTTTWCTATACATTATATTTTTCTTAAAATGTGGGTTGTTTTTATGGGAAAAAAGCGATTATTTYATGCAAAATATCTGTGCTCTTGAAAAKAACTGATTTTTGTTGAATSTRAMWGMWTTGTGACAAATCCTACAGMATTTGTATAATAAGAAAAWWAAKAARGAAAGAAGAACTAGGTGCTYTTTTTAAATAAATATTGCGTTTTAGCAGAATTTGCTCTCCAAAACATGAAAAAAWCAACCATTAAACMCATWAAAATARAACCATTCAACCAACACGAAAATTGTTATTAACAAATTTCAATGAAAACGAATATAAAATGATGTTAAACTTCAATGCTGTTGGTAAWRCAAATAAAACCTGATTTTCTAGAAAATGTGCTTGTTTCGGCAAATCTGGTTGATTCTTCGGAAAAATTCTGCTTCATTGAAAATTYATCTAAATCACACTTTTCGTCAAGCAATGACTCGACAAGGGCATTTATTTCGCACTTGACAATGTTTTATCATTCTGCGTTTAATTTACATAAGTATATCTAAATCAACCGGTTTGAATCTGAAGATTATTGTTAAATTTCAAGCATTCAAAAATTCGCTGTGTCATGCGATTCACCATTTTCTGAAAAATCGAAACCGACGTGGTTCTTAATTAATTTTCAAGAGCTCGTCACTTGAAAAATAATGCAATTTTTCTTCAATTTCAAACGAGGTTTTAGTATTTACAGCCTCCTCGAAATTTGATTTAATTTGCTCATCAAGTTCAGATAGACCGAAATACAATTCTCATGTGAACCAATTAGGATAACTCATCATACCAATTACCTGATTAGCAATCAATCAACTCTAAATCAATAAATTTTTGCTTAAAAGGTTTAAAATATAGGGTGTCGGAAAATGAAGCGGAAAATATTCAGTGTCTGACTCTACATGAAACTGAAAAAATTTCAATCTTTCAAGGTAAAACTCTTGTATGTGGACAGTGAAATATGAGGACGAACAGAAGCAGTTGAAGCTCTTGAATTAAATTGGGTTGAAACTCGCACTTTAGTGGGCGATTGATTGCTGCTCAAGAAAATAATTAAACAACCTCACGAGGCTTTGAAGCAACAACTTCTCAATCCGTACAATTTTCAAGAGATTCGGGCTTTAGATCCTTTAGTTCGCCAAAATGTATGCAATTGAATCATGGAATTGCATAAACAGAGGGCACATTTTTAAAACAAATTCCTTAACACAGGCGAGGCTGAATTTGAACGTAACATAAGTATTTAACAAAAAAAGAAAAAATCTTCTAAAAACCTTACAGCTCCTGTATTTTCGAACTTCGAACAAGCCTACAAGCACAAACACTGCGTTTTCAGGCAAAAATGTATGAAAGAAATTCGCAAAAAATTGCGAACAAACCGCCCAAAATTTATCTGCACGTTTATCACCGGACTTAATCGACAATGTACTATCAATGTGGACAATCCGAATACACCATACGAGTTGAACATGGAAATGAAGGAATTGATGGTGGGACAAGCAAATTATCATATATATATTGAAGAACAAAGGCCGAATCTTGGAATGGTTGGAGGACTTTGGGTTTAGAAGCAAAACTTAGCAAAAATCGACACCAAAAACCTTGTTTCAGCAACAGTTTTTTCCAGAAAAATAAACCGTTCAAACTGGTCGTAATTAAGATGATTTATAAGCGCAACTGGCAATTGCAACCTTCTGTGCTGATGTGCTGAAAAACGCCAAAATCCGGTTCAGTAGTCACGTTTTTAGCATAAAACAACTGACCTGCGACAAAAAAGTTGAAGAAAACAGACCTTCATCTTTACAAAATATGTTCGTTTTTGTTTATTGGGCTGGGGTTCCAACGAACAAACACCCGCGATCATTTAGCCCATCCTCTACATTTTATTTAATCGAAAAAATAGCAAAGAATTACCTGAACCATGTTTTGATCACTGAACTTTAGTCTGTGAAATCAAACGCTTTGTTCAATTGATTAACTAGCTAGACTCTGGAGAGCTTTTTCATGTGAACATGGACAAATAAAGCAGGAAATTGGATTAAGTAAAACCTTGAAAGGTAAATCAATAGACAAACGCTACTAAAATGTTCATAGTAAAGATGATAGGCCAGATTTTGCTCTTTGGAGTGGAAAGTTTCTGATAAAAGTAGGTTTAGATCTGGAGATGTGCGAATCTCAGRGCACCTGCAAACAAATATTTTTTTCCTGACGTTTCGCGAACACGAGTGGCAAGCGTTTTCAGAATGGAGCTGCGCGGAGCAAACAATCTTCGAAGATGCAAGCCAGTCGTGCTTAATTTTACTTATCACTGTTTCTCAGAAACGCCAAAGTTTGTTAATCTCAGGCTCCCYCAGAGCCGGTTTTGGGCTATTGAGGTCKATGAAGAAACATAAAAAGTTGGGAACGATTATCCGATGGGACGATTGATCGAAGCCCTGTATAATAATGCTTGTTATTTTCATGCCAATACAATAAATTATTAATCCATGTCCAACATATGTGTGTGTTCAATGAGGAAATCCTAGCAACGTTTAATTGGACTATTTTCGCATCGCAATGTAAAACTATTAATAACTTGGCCATTTAAGAACGACTATTATTAAGCATTATTTGTCCCCGTTCCTGCAACTATTGCCCATTTTTTTCGGGGATCAAATCAACTGTCCGTTTGAGACATGAAGAAAAACCAGAATTTCCTAGTGGAAAGTGGCTGATGCGAAAACTCACAGTTTTCCTGCCACCTTGTTCAAATGAGGATTTTCCGATACAGCGACGCTTTTAACTATAAGAGCGCACCGGAAAAATGAAGAACAATAACATTGTTGCTGGGGGTTTTTTCAGCATTTTTCTCTTAAATGTGGCTGATATTTGTGGGCAAACTACTCAAAATATCAACGTCAGTAAGTATTTTACTTATACTTATTGCTTCTCCTATTCGTCCCTCCTTCATTTCTTCTTTGCAGTTTTTGCCAACGAAGAAGGGAACTTTGTAGCAGACAAAGCTGTAACTGTAGCTTTGAACTACATCAAGAAAACATCGAAGTTAGGCCTTAGCGTGGATTTGAGGCGTGTGGTTGGCAACAAAACCGATTCCCAAAATGTTTTGGATTCGTGTAAGTCGATTTGTTCTATTCAGCCATCTTTTGCATAAGATTCTTTCAAGTGTGCGCAGCGTATCAACAAATGCTGGACGATAATAATCCTCCTCATTTGGTCTTGGATGCTACCAGAGCTGGACTTGCATCCGAAACTGTTAAGTCTTTTACAGCAGCGCTAGGAATACCTACAGGTTTGGATTTTTTAACATGCATCCTGCATGTTAAAAGTGCATTAAGGAGCAGGGAAATTAGGGAACATTTGAAATTTGAGTGTTTGCTTYTGTATGTACAAGGTGTTTTGATGGGAAAAAATGATAAAGTTGCTGCGGCTCTTAATCAATTTTTTCTTTTTCTTAATTAAGTTGTTCATTGTTATYCAAATTTTGAAAATCTGACAGTRAAATAAAAAAAAATGAAAGACAAATAGAAACAWAAGTTGAGATAGTCATTTGCCTGTTCATTGCGCAATAGCAAATTTTCAAAAAAWTTACTTAACTGGGCTTGACGAGGGAGTTTTTCGAATCTCGCGCACATAAAACGGAACTATCCTCTTTTCAGTTCGGTGATTGATTGACTCGTTTCCCTGTATGTTCTAGTTTAAAAAAMATGWWWTTMTTSACCAGTTCAACGTSCAMGAGCAAATTTTCAAAAWATCTTCAAATKGTTTCTGAAGATAWTTTTTTTCKAAACTCACCRTTTATAAAAGAAACTGTGCCTTTTCCAGTCCAGTAGCTGTGATTGCTCTGTCTGCTCTATTTTCGAAAAWACAACGGAATGTTTTCACGTTGCTTGTTCATTGTGCAAGAGGAAATTTTCAAAAAATYGTCCGAACGGAACCTGAAGAAGGATTTTTTCGAAACCAGCGTCYTTTCAAAAGGAAGTATTTCTGTTTTCAGTCCGGTATGATTCTCGTTTTGGGGACTGTTCTAATTACAGAAAAATCCTGTTTAAAACCAACYCCTRTATAACTTCAATTGCCCTACAGTTTCTTTTCAGTTCAACCGTTCATCCGGGACRAATTTGTTAAAGAAAAATGTTTCTATACACAAGATGGAGCMAATTTTATTATTTTAKTATTGTTTTCCGCTCTAACATGCARTTTTTTGTTAGGGATTTTTSTCACATTAGTTGAGGACAACCGTGTATATAATCCAGATTTGCGTTGGCCGTTTTCTTTAYATTACTTTTTTWAAATTATAAACGGCAACAGATCAAATTAAGCTGAAAATCAATTTGTCTAAAAATRTACAGGGTGTTTCATTAAAAAAATGACTATTTSATATTTCAAATTTGGAYATTTRTGTCTTGTAAAGAACTGGAGTAATAATGAAAATTTTTTGTATTTATAACTTYTAACAATTTTGTTAAGTAAATGATCTAGAAGGGCGACAAATTATGAAGAAATACCCTGTTTYAAAATATTTATTTATTATAACAATTTTAYAGTGCGTTTGAAATGGGTATYCTACAGAGATAAGCAAAATAACCTGTACATCGAAAATGGCACATAAAAAAGGAAAACATACATATAAAATTGGAAATTCAAGATGGCTTGCAAGAATCAACCTAATAAATATTSTCTTTCACATGCAAAAAAAATACCAAACATCCTCTGCATCAAGTCTTAAGAGTCTAAGAAAACTTAAATAATTTTAGTAAGCGCTTCCTATGGCCAGCAGGGGGATTTAAGACAGTGGCGTAACTTGCAGCCCAACGAAGAAGAATACTTGGTCCAAATCTCACCTCCTGGTGACATTATTCCGGAAATGGTGCGCACTTTGGTGCTCAACCAGAACATCACAAATGCCGCTATTCTGTTCGATGATTCTTTTGGTACGAGTCCTAATAAATTAATTTTTGGTACTTTTAACAAAACGAATAATGAGTCCAGTTATGGACCATAAGTACAAGGCCCTGCTGCAGAACGTGGCTACTCGTCATTTAATCGACGAAATCAATGAAGACGTGAACAAAATCCCTGATCATCTGGAGAGTTTGGTGAAGCTGGATTTGAAGAACTTTTTTGTATTGGGCAGCTTGCAGACGATCAAGAATGTGCTGGAGGCTGCCGAGAAAAAGAGCCTCTTTAACCGAATGTTTGCCTGGCATGTCCTGACCAAGGTGCCACTCATAATCGCTCTTTTACAGCCTTTTGCTAGTTGCTCGATTGATTTTAGGATCCGGATGATTTGAAAGCTTCCATCAAGAACGCAACAATCATCTTCGCCAAGCCGATTGTTAACAATCTGTATCAGGATCGGCTTCGGAATATACAGACCACCTACCAACTATCCAGCGTCACTCCTGAAATCGAGGCCGCTTTTTACTTTGATGTGGCTCTGAAAGGGTTCTTGGCTGTGAAGTACTTTTGCCCATTAACTCGTTCAAACTGTGCGATCATTCACCTAAAAACCTTGCAGGGAAATGTTACTGGATGGCTCCTGGAAGAAGAACAACGTCACCAACTACGTCACTTGCGACGATTACGAACCCAAGTACAGCCCCAAGCGTTTTAATCTCAATCTACGCTCCTATTTGCAGAAAGTTAGTGTTATATTCTGGGCGATTCTCATTAATATTACGTAAAAATAGGTTGCCTTATGCCGAAACCAACGGAAGATAACTTTGACTGATGGGCCTTATGTGAAGGGCGAAGCCTGGGCATTTCCCACAATTTGTTCGTTCTCTTTTTGTTGTTTTTGTAGCTTTTTTGAACCTCCAGGATTCTTCCGTCCGGATTTTTTGAGGTGCAAATATTTTTTGATAATCGGCTTGCCACGCAGACCAGAATTTGCTGTCAGCGTTTTTTCGTTTATCCCATGTTTCCACTTCAGTTCCCATGCTTTACCCAATTATTTCAAGTTCGAATTTCCGCTTGATTTAAGCGGAAATTTTGACTCAAAACATCAATATGCAGCCAGTTTTAACCACGTCAATTTTCAATCACCCTGTATATATCTTCACGTGTCTTCCATGTCTTCTTGAGTGTTTTTCAGGAGTCCTCTGAACCACCAACTTATGGCCCATTCGCGATTGAATCCAATGGAATGAGCTTCATGGAGTTTTCCATGGCATTATCAGCGGTGTACGTGCGGTCAGGGGCGTCCGACAAGTCTCTTCCATTAGGGACGTGGCATGGAGGGTTCAATAACAACATGACCCTACTCACCCCCAAAGATATGAAAAACTATACTGCTGATGTCGTTTACAAGGTTGTAACTGTGGTGGTAAGTTCAAGTATACTGGGTGTCTTAAAATCAGATGGCTTAATACTAAGAGTCTTCATTGAAACTGTAATATTTTTCCCAGCAAAAGCCCTTTATATATAGAGACGATACCGCGCCCAAAGGTTTTAAGGGCTACTGCATCGATTTGATAGACGAAATCGCCAAAATTCTGCACTTTGACTATGAAATCGACGCCGTGGCCGACGGTATGTTTGGAAATATGGATGAAAATGGCAAGTGGAATGGTATTATAAAGGTGAGTAGATTTTGCAGTGTTTTTTTTATTGGAAGTGAAATTTTGCATAGACGTTTTGCTTGCGACACTGATGGTCAGCTTCAGAGGTGATTGTTTTTTGTGATTTTTTAAATAGGATTTGATAGAGAAAAGGGCGGACATCGGATTGGGATCCTTGTCGGTGATGGCTGAAAGAGAGAACGTGATTGATTTTACCGTGCCGTACTATGATTTGGTGGGAATTACAATTTTGATGAAAATGCCTGAAACGCCGACATCACTGTTCAAGTTTTTGACCGTTTTGGAGAATGAAGTGTGGCTGTGTATTCTGGCCGCGTATTTCTTCACCAGGTATTTAGTTTTTTTATAAGCCATTTTTGGAAGTAAAATAAATGTTTTTTTAACTTGAGTTTTGAAAGAAAAGGTTTATTGTCTAAGTAAAAAAGATTAATTCTATATTTTTGCTTGATTGATTGCGTCCACCGGCAGCTAAAACATGTTTTTCTAAGAAATCGGTTTTCTGTGTCATTTGTTTAATTTTCTAAACTCTAAGTCAGAAACATGCCACTTTCTAGCTAAATTAAAATGAGGTTTTACGTCTTTTTATTTACAGTTGCAATTCTACTGTTTGTAGCTCCCTTCTCTTGAAAAACTTCTGCTATTTTAGAACGACATCAGGGGCGGATCCAGCTTTAAAGTCAGGGGGGGGGGTATGTAGAAAAATACAGTCTTCTGTTATCTATGAAATTAGAAAAATTATCGTCGTTTTGTGCAAGGGTCGCGCAAGATTATTGCAAAATTTCATGTTCTCCGTCCCGTTTTGCATGTTTCTCGGAAGCAAAATGAGCAAGAACGCT